TTAATTCATTATTGAACCTAAATTAAATTATAATTAAAAAATTACACAAAAAATAGAAATTTTAAATAATTAATTTGATATTTGTCAAATTTTTATGATATCTTCAAATTTATATTTTATTCAAAAATAAAAAATAATCGCTTTTTCAAAATCACATAAGACCATATTATAACATTGACTGAGATAGATAATAAGGGGGTGTTTGGGATTGCTTATTGTATCTGCTTATGGATTTATTTCAGTCTGACACCAGTGATAAGCTAATACCTAGTATTTGGATAAGAAAAAATAAAACTGCTTATACCGGTGCCAAACCGATAATAAACAGTTTTTGATAAGTTAATCCGTCCTGACTTATGAAAAAACTACTTATTACCAGTTTACCATTTTAATCCTATTACCCTTTATACCTATCTCTTTTCCTCCAGATAACATCAATCTCAATCTTCTCCCTTCTCCAGATAACATCATCAATCTTCTCCCTCTCCTTTTTGGTCATTTTATAGATATAAGCAAAATTAGCCAAACACTAAAAAACAACTTATCAGCTTATTGCAGTTTGGTATCGCTATAAGCTAATTCAAACACTTTTTACGAAACTCCGGTTTGATACCACATAAGTTAATAAGCATTTTTACAAAAAAAACATAAGTTGTTATAAATAAGCAATCACAAACACCCCCTAAAATAAACACCCCCTAAAATAAATTATTAAAATCAATATGTATCTCATTATATTACATGAGTATCCTTTTAGTCCCTCTTAAATGGTGCGGTTAATAATCTCCTAAATTTAACACCCTTAATTTTTTTCTAATTAAAAAAAATTTATTTGAGATAATCTAATAATAAAAATCGGATAGTATTTGCTGTAAATTATTCTCGAAATATTTTTATCTAAGAAAAACAGAGAAAATATCAATTGAAAAAACGTGGATGCTGTGAAAAACATTGAGGCGGTTAGACGAAGTCTCAGGGTTCTTCTTCTTGTGCTGCCGAGATACTGATCGATCTCCAACAAAACCACTGACGCAATCGGAAGTCGACATATGGCCGAGCACGGTGGCGGAGGTGGATGTTGCCCGCCGATGGATCTGTTCCGTTCAGAGCCGATGCACTTAGTGCAAGTCATCATTCCTATAGAGTCTGCTCGCTTGACCGTCTCTTATCTTGGAGATATCGGCCTCATTCAATTCAAAGACGTCAGCACTTTCTCTATGTAGTTGTGATTATACAGATCATGCGTGTTTTCTGATGTAATTGTAGTGTTATCTTGGTGCATCATGAGTTTACCTAGTAGTAATTTGCGAAGTCAGCTTTCAACGTTATGGATTTACTAAAAATAGGGTTTTGCTACATTTTATGTGAGGGATGTTGATTGATCGAGCTGGAAGTTGTGGTTAGCTGAATTGCGCAAAACCTGATTTTTTTTTCCTTTTCGATTTGATCTTTTGGTTTTTAGCAATTTATATGATATAGTGATCTTTTTTATAGATGCTAGCTGAAATAATCTTACGATATTGTTGTGGCGCTATCTTTTTCGTGCTTTAAGTTCTCTTGAAAGTGACTCTTGTTAGAACTTTAATTAGTACTGCGCACTTTTTTTAGGTTATCAGAATTAGCCATTGGATATTTCAACTGGAATAAAGTTAGTTATCTCTGAAAGGGGTTTGATGGCATATAAAGTTGATAGAGGTTTGATAAAAAGATAATGCTTGATTCCACTAGCAAAATAAGGAAAAGGAATAAATTTAGAATAGCTTTTTTATAGTTTGCATTAGCTTTTCAGTGTGTTTCTTTGATTCCTGATTTGTTGGTTGACATCAAGGTTATTGGTTTTACTCTTTTTCTTGTGTATATCCTTTTGTTCTGTAGTCTGGTTCCTAGTGAAGGTCTAATTTTAATTTTATTGATATATACAGTTGAATGCAGAAAAAAGCCCTTTCCAGAGAACATATGCCGGCCAGGTGAGTTCTATTTTTCCTGCTCTGTAAGGTCTAATAAACTGCTTATTATTACCCTCTGAGTCTCGAATTAGACATATGATTGGCGTTTGGAATTAAACTCTGGAAATTGTAAGATTTGAAATTGGTATAAATAAACCTGAATTTTGATAAGAATCGATACGAAAACAAGTGTAGCATATTTTAGTCAATCTGCATAAATCTAATCGTACAGTGAACACACTAATATAAGTAATTTTAATGAAAATTATACTGTTATCTGTTTCTCTGTTCTGTCTTCAGTATGACATGGTAAGAAACAGATATGTGGAATTCCTGTGTGAAGTGATAGACCATGGCAATTTGTTACTTCAGCATCAGCTATGGAGAGTTACTAGGAGATTAATTGCACTGGTCACTTGTCATTCTAGAGACTTTCAAAGATGGTACAATCATCTCAAACAGTTGGAGCATTTATACTTGCTTTAATTGGGTTTGAATCTATATTAGATGTTATTTATGGTCTCTGGGAGAGACATTTTGGCTCATATGGAGCATCAGGTTCTGCTGACGTATAGAACCTAAGTACACACATGTTGTAGCAGGGATCTCCTTAAGCTGGTTTGCTGCTGTTTATGCTTAATCCTTAGTGTCGAGATGGTTTGTCTTATGTACACATTTAGGGCTTATAATTTTATGCTTCTATTACTGCTTGAAACTTTTATTTAGGGGGACTTGCTTAAAGTTGCTTCCGTTGTGCAGATTAAAAGATGTGGAGAACTGGCACGGAAGCTTCGTTTCTTCAAGGATCAAATGTCAAAGGCGGGTGTCACACCATCAGCTAAGTTTGAGGCCAAAACTGACTTTAATCTAGATGACCTGGAGGTATACAAGTTATTATATGCATGCATAAATCCGTACCATGTTTGGAAAATTAAACTTTTCTGTCTGTTGCGTTTTAGGTGAATCTTGGAGACCTTGAGGCTGAGCTTACTGAAATCAATGCAAATAGTGAAAAATTGCAGCGTGGCTATAATGAGCTTGTAGAATATAAGCTTGTTCTGCAAAAGGTATATCTTACCTTAACACTATTTTTATGGTTTAGGGTGGTGGCACGAGGTTTTATACTGTGATTTAGAATGGTGAAGTGAAATGACTTAAAAGAAAGATTGCCTAAGTGATGGAATATAGAGGGAACTCACACAAGTTGATTAAATAATCTCCCCTAAACTTCAAAAAAAGTTATTCTAAAATAAGAGGAGCATGGATGGCTTCTAAATTTTCATGTGTTGTGCAATTTGAACTTTATTCATGTTAAAACTGACTAAACAATTATTTGAGCACTAAAGAACTTTGCGAGTTGTCTATGCTTGGATGAAGGGGCATCAAATTTCTAAGGTGAACCTAATAATAGTGTCTTGCACCCTTTATATTTGTACAAATGTTGTGATCAGTTCTGGAATGTAAAATAGTATTCCCCTCATTGATGGCTTCATGTGTGTGTGCGCATGTGCACAGTCCTGTCTATATGTAAACGAATCAGCTTTTTACACCCATTTGTATTCATAAACTGTACAGTAGAGTCTTTTGAGTGTGTTTGATAGTAACATTTACGAAAGGCAGCAATTCCTTATTTGGTTAATACATAGGCTTGTAGGAAGTACATGTAAAGGAAAGAAAAGGATAAAAGGAACAAGGGATACTAGGACATCAGAATCATTTTTCCTTACACAGGTAGATAATAAATATTAACACCTCATACAAAAGAACATGAAACGCCAAATTTCAGCAATCATCTTAGTATCAAACCTAATACGAGATACTAGTGGGTGCACTTGACCCTTGTACTTACCAAACCATAACCAATTTCCCCAACTTTGGGTTGTGGAAATCTTACTAAATTGCACCAGCATGGTACATGTGGATGTTTGATTTTCAGCAGAAAGCCATGTCATGGACATAAATGAAACAAATAATGCATATAGACTAAAAAATGGCATAGTTAGTGACTTAAGCATATTTACATTATCAGATTTCCAATCCATAAGGATATGATAGTAGTCAGACAAGTTTATACACATCTCAAACTTACTTTGGGAACCATCGATGGGCCTTTATCTAGAACATCTTGTTAAAAAAGGCTGAATTGATAGCTTAAACGAAGTTCCATTTATAGATATGGTGACATATTGTGTTAATTCACCCCTGTTACTTCTCATGTGCTGCTGCTAAACTTTTCCATCATTATTGGGTGGTAAACTTCTTATAAACACATGTTTGTAAGTAGGACTCTATCCCTCCTTTTCCGTTGGAACAGAGGGAAAATTGTTCTCGAAAGAAATCTGTATTCTTTCATGCCAATTCCTTCTTGACTGGTTGGCTATATTTTAACTCTGGCACTTACTACGGTAAGTATCTTGGCTAATCTTGCATTAGATGACCAAAGTTCAAACTGTTCCACAGGCTGGGGAATTTTTCAAAGCGGCAGAAAGGAGCGCTGCAGCTCAGCAGAGAGAACTTTCATCTCATCAGGCTGGTGAAGAATCTTTGGAAACCCCTCTATTGAAGGATCAGGTACCTGTTATGACAATTTTCATTATCAAATGTAAATAGGTTCTATAAGACTATATCCACACACACTGCTCACCTTTGTTGAGACTTGAACCCCTGACCTCCAGGAAGGTGGGGTCTAGCGGATACCACTGTGATGGGTTCTTGCTGGCTTATACATCTCTACCTCCTTCGTGTTCAACCTGTCTTCTCATTCTCTCTTGGTCTTTTTTTGTCCTGCCTTCTAATTTTTTTCCGTTTCGTTCGGCTCCTTGCAATCTATGCAAATCTGCTATTTTATAAAAAAATTCTGCAAAAGTGTGGCGTCTAGCTAACCTTCCCAAATCTTTTCCATAAGCTGGGGGTCTTCTGGGAAACAGCCTCTCTACCTTCTGAGATAGAGGAAAGGTCCGGGTACATTTTCCCTGCCACCCCTAGTTCCGGTTGGAACTACTGGGTTGTTTGGGGTTTCTTTTTGGTTTTTAGGATAGGCTCTACATGTAAATGATTCTTTTTGATGTTTTTGCATAGGAATCAACAGCTGACCAAGGCAAACAAGTTAAATTGGGGTTTCTTACTGGCCTTGTGCCCAAAGGAAAAGCCATGGCTTTTGAGAGAATTCTGTTCCGTGCTACAAGGGGAAATGTCTTTCTGAGGCAGGCTTCATTGGAAGAAGCTGTTGTTGATCCTAATTCAGGAGAAAAGGTTAATAGATCACTACTTCACTTCTATCTTCCATGCCTTGGTGAATGTTTTGACATCAAATATCCATTTGATGTCAAAACATGCATTTGATTTTTGCCTTCGTTTTTTCCTATTTTTGTGGCATCTTCATTTTTTAATTATAATTAAAGAGAATTTGATGATATTTCTCTTACCGGACTAGTGAAGCTGTTGCTAAAATTGTATTTTACATTTGTTGATATATGATTTCTCCTAAATAATGGATGGTAGTAATTAGAAACCTCTTGATCATACATAATTTATTTCCTGGATGCATGGGGGTGCATTTTGCTGTAAATCTGTTAAGCTCATCTGAAGCCAAGCATACCCTTTATTCCCACTTACGCTAAAACTGTCGCTCCATACGTTGAAACATATCCAGACTTCATGAAATGATGTGATATTTTTAAAATCTATGTATCTTTTGTACAATTTCAGTTGATATGGTCTTCACATGTTCTGTGTGTAGGCAGGACTTCAGCAAGTAGATATGTATGTTCGTCAAAAAAAGGATATATCCTGAAATTTTCTAGGGCATAGGGTGCAGCAGAAAACATGAATTTTCTATTGTCTTAATACAGGCCGATTATGAAATGACAATGATTTAAACTTGTATGTTTTGGAAACACTAAACCTAGAATGGACAAGGTTGCATGTAGTAGCGACTGACAGATTGACTTTTACCGAACTGTGACCTTTATTACCTCTTGTGCATACAAGTAAAATATGATGTAACTTCTATCTCCATAAAATACTTCACTTGATTTTGATTGCAAGGATTACCAAATTTTGGCATCTTACACATAATCTGTGATTGACAACTTTTGGTTTTATCTCAGACAAGCATAATTTGATTTCAGTGCAAGGAAAAATGTCAGCAAAACGTTAATTTTGTGTACTTATTAAAACATAACTACTGCTGTACAGGTGGAGAAAAATGTTTTTGCAGTTTTCTTTTCTGGAGAAAGAGCCAAGAGCAAAATTCTTAAGATATGCGAAGCTTTTGGAGCAAACCGTTACTCTTTTGCAGAAGATTTATGCAAACAAGCCCAAATGATAACTGAGGTACCCAACATCCTTCTGCTTGAGTTATTGATCATCACATGTATGAGGAGGTTGATGCTCCTTGTACTCTCTGTTAATACAATACCTTGATTGCTTTGTACCGGTATGTCATTGTGTGTTGTTTATATTGCTCATTGCTTCGATCTTGTAGGATTGTTAATTCTTGACTGGAGTTGGCTACTGTTCATTGCCTCTCATTCAGTTGTTAGATATAAAATTTCATAGGATTTAAGTATTGCATAAGAAAATGAAGGTACTGGAGCATTCTTCCCTTGTAACAAATTCCTCCCTTTTCTTCTCTTGATGATGCTTTTATCCTTGGTGAAATACTTGTAATGTTCTAGGCTTAGAGTATTTTATGTATTAAGTGGTATGATCGTATATCATTATCAAAATTTCTCTTGCTTTTTGGAGGAATTTGATGTTCACTTTGAACCGGTTGATACATCACATACATTTATTTCAAAAAGTTGTTTTGTCTTCAAATGACAGCTGTTTGAAAATAGGTTCTACTCTTTCTGCTTTTTTAGTCCTGTCATGTATTCTCATTTGAGGTTGGTGATATGTAAGATCCTCATGTAGGTAATCAGTTATATATTGCTCATTCGATATGATAACAATCTGAAGCATAATATGCTATTTTACTCATTGCATCTGTCGTTGCTCTTCCCTTATAGTTGGATCCCCCTTCCCTTGCCCCCCTCTGAAGAAGTTAAAGTGATAATTTAGTGCTCCACTTAATCAACCTGACTTTGCCCTATGAATTTAATTCTATTAATAACACCAGTTCAAGCTCCTATAAAATTTGGAAACCTAAGAAACATAAGATGCTGATATACCGAAAGGTATATCAAAGGATTTTATTATCACTCAATGATTGATTACGACCCGGCCATTAGAGAGAAGCCGGTTTTCTCCCAAATTGACTCTCACCGGTTTCTGTCAAAAAAAGCCTCATCCCTTCCTTACTAACAAAAGCTATTTATACTACTGCTACCCTCCCCGAATAAGGAATTGATTCCCTTGGCCCCACCACCTAACAAAAATGACCCACCCTGACAAAAATAATAAATAACCCCAAAATACCAATATGGCCCTCCTTTATCTGATAGCATTTCTTAGGACCATTACTTCTGTCCCCTATATATGTAAGTAAACCGAATTGAGGGTTTATCAGATGCATTGTAGGAGTAGTGAAAGATCAGTCAATTTATAAGCGTACCAGATACCTCTTAGAAGTATGTGGTACTGGAACTATGACCAAGCCCTAAGCAAAATTAGTTTGGGTCATTGCACTTTGTATGTTGCATAGTTTTTACCTACGGTAAATCTGATTATTAAAAAATGCATTCTTGTGCAATTACCCTTCTGTATATACATTTCCAATCACATCAAGATCTGGAATGCTCCAGTTTGCATTCTTGTGCAATCCTTGTTTTCTCAGGACAGTTTGCTTGTTGCGTTGGAGCATGCTGTTGTAGTATTATGGTTGGCCTCAGTAAGGGCACTGATCATGCGAACTGTCTCTTTCCAGGTATCTGGAAGGCTATCTGAGCTAAAGACAACAATAGATACTGGACTTCTGCATCGTGGGAATTTGTTGGAAACCATAGGAAAACAATATGAACAGTGGAATGACGTGGTATGTGCTGTTGTTTTTCTGTTAAAGTGTGCATGCAGATGATCTACTACTTGTGGTTTGCATCAATGACCTTCATTGGCTAACATGATTGTCTATTTATATCTTGTTTATATCATTGAACTTCATTACGTTGTTATTGCAAGGTCCGGAAGGAGAAGTCCATTTATCACACGCTAAACATGCTTAGCATTGATGTAACAAAGAAGTGTCTTGTGGGCGAAGGGTGGAGTCCCGTATTTGCAACCCAACAGGTTTGGCACTGTACCTTATATTTGTGTATGTAAATAAAAGTACAAGGAAGAAACACCTAGGCAGATTACTATTTTCTGCATCGTGGATGTCATGTTTCAGATTACTATGTTAATGATTGGTGTTTCCATTGATCTTTTTGCAGCTGCATCAACTTGATGCATATTAAAATATTTTGCTTCAAGGTACTATTAACTGTATGACTCTTGTTTTTGCAGATTCAGTATGCACTTCAGCAAGCAACAATCGACTCCAAGTCGCAAGTTGGCGCCATTTTTCAAGTTTTGCACACGAAAGAGTTGCCTCCCACCTATTTCCGAACAAATAAATTTACCGATTCCTTTCAAACGATTGTTGATGCATACGGGTAAGCATTACTCTGGCATTGGTACTTGTGTGCTTTCCAGGCATTTGTACTTGCCAGATGTATAAGTATTGTACTTGGTGATTTGCTTTATACAACAGTAACACGCCTTTTATCTCAATTTAGTTGGAAGAAGCCATTAATAATAAGAACAGGCAATAATTAAGGCCTTGGAACATGAATAGCATCCTTCCATGCTCGCCTATCTAAAGCTGACAAACCGTTGCTTGGATATGTTCCCTTGATACGAATCTATCTTGACTACCTTCTCCATATTAACCTCATCCTATCCTTTTCTCTTCCGGCATGACTTTCATTTCTCACCAGTGCATATGAAGGTCTAAGCCACTGCATGATCAAACCACCGCAAGTGGTATCAAACATAGCGATAACTAATTTCTATCACTCACCTGCGAAGCTTGTTGTAACCCACCTTGTGCCCCTGCTTTGGGACAGGCCTTGTAAAACTACATGGGCCAAGTTGGTGGTTTATGGTCTTCTCACAATTATTATCATATTAGCTGTGGTTAGTGACATGAGTAGTAAATCAGTATCATCAGTTACAGAACTTTCCAAAGTTATTGCTTTATGTGGTATCAAAGAAAATATAATTTACTTCTCTACATGAAGGGTGGATCTTTTAGGATGAGTGTTCTGCAAAAAGGCTTTTGTTCCCAATACCTGCCGAACAGTTTCACGAGTTGGCATCAATCTGCCTTGCTCATAATATGTTCTTAGTCTATGTAATCTGTACTTTTCTAACTTTTCCATATAGATGAACATCTGATCAACTCTTGATGCAGTGTTGCCAAGTACCAAGAAGCAAATCCTGGAGTATATACTATTGTCACGTTCCCATTTCTGTTTGCGGTGATGTTTGGTGATTGGGGGCATGGCATATGCATACTGCTGGCAACTTTATATTTAATATTCAGGGAGAAGAAATACTCAAGTCAGGTAACTAGCACTTTCTGTCTTGAGCTGATTTTTTATAGCACTGACACTGTCTTACTCACATTTAGTGGATAGACATTGATATTGTCATTTGACCGATTAAGAAAATTATGCTATATTTGTTGCATCAGAATCAAGATCAAGCTGTCTTTCACTAATTCCCCATGATGTCCTTATATATTGAAAGCATACATGTAATGAGGACTGATATAATGCGTCGAGAATCTGGGTTTCATGGTTACCGCAAGGGGCTGTGCCCCTTGGACCCTTCCTTATGACGATCTAAGATGATAGAGGCAACGTTTGTGAGTGTGCACTCCACTCCTCGCTCATCTTTGTCTGCCTTATCACCTAGTCGATCCTTGTAAATCACAATTACCCAAAATGTTTGATTACACTAAAATCACCAACATAATGTTGGCTTCTTGTTCTTGTGTCGCCCTATTTTCTAGAGCTATGACGACCACTAATCATCATAAAAACTGAAAAAATAACATAAGCATTCTACGTACCATTTGCAAAAGAAGTCTTAAAAAATTTAAATTGAAAGTGTATGGATATGGTACACGTATACCTTAGTACTTGGCTGGCCAAATATAACCAGTACATTTTGCGGTCTCTATACTTGGTTGGTTTAGAGATAACAAATTGACCTCCATACTATGTCGATTCAATATTGAGAAGATTATCCGGGTGAACAATGATATGGCATGTGAATGAGTGATAGGAAGAAATTATCGTATATGCACTTGCATAACAGTTTTACAGAATTTCGGAAATGTGATTAGGTACTAAATGAATTACCGTTATAATCAGGCTTCATTATTTTGGAAAGCATGTTGGCATCTCGAATGCTATTATATGAAATATGTTTATGAACTGCTTAGTATATAAACCATGAATTCATTGGGCGCAAAACTGGCTAGTAGCATGTATATGGGAATTTGTTAAAGCAGAGTTCAGAAAGGATAAAGAGATGTAAATCTTCATGTCTGAACTTTATTGTACTATGTTGCCTTAAGAAAACATTATGTCAGTTTGATTTGATAAGTTTCGCCTCACAGTAATGATATCCTGGCATGTGACCCCTCTCAGTAGCCAGAACATTAAAATCTATAACATACAATGGTGTTGTAAACATTTAACATGCCTTAAAACATAGAGCATGCATAAATCATATCTGAAAATACTGAATCATATACTTAGGAATGTATCTGAGTTTCAATAACACGAAACTCACCCCTGGTTCGTGCAAGTCTAGCTGGTTACTCCAGAATGTCATCCTACACAAGTCATGATGTGTTTTTGAATACTGATACTGGCCACTAAACACTTATTAACTCAGCTTTCTATATTGATTTGGTCAACATACGATGGTGTTGTAAACATTTAGCATGCTTTAAAACACAAAGCATGCTTTAAAACACAAAGCATGCTTAAATCATAGCTGAAAATACTGAATCATATACTTAGAAATGTATTGAGTTTCAATAACACGGAACTCACCCCTGGTTTGTGTAAATCTAGCTGGTTACGCCTGATTGTCATCCTACACAAGTCATGATGTGTTTTTGAGTACTGATATTGGCCACTAAACACTTATTAGCTCAGCTTTCTATATTGATTTGGTCAAAATGCGATGGTGTTGTAAACATTTAGCATGCTTTAAAACACAGAGCATGCATAAATCATAGCTGAAAATACTGAATCATATACTTAGGAATGTATCTGAGTTTCAATAACACGAAACTCACCCCTGGTTCATGTAAGTCTAGCTGGTTACGCCTGAATGTCATCCTACACAAGTCATGATGTGTTTTTGAGTACTGATATTGGCCACTAAACACTTATTAACTCAGCTTTCTATATTGATTTGGTCATCATTGCACCCAACAGGGGTATGCGGCTTCATAGGCCACTTTAGAAGTCGCATTCGGTTTCACATGCTGGGTGACTCGGCTGAGCCAGCTTGCATTGACCGGTTAAACCGAGGTCTGAGTTCTCTTTGACTGGTCCATGTGATTTCCCTCGCAAGTTCAGTACATCACATACATTGATCGTCTTCGCGGCTTGGTTAGTGCGATCTCCCAGGTCATGTTCGAAGTCGCCTACATAGCACAGAGGCTGTTAAGTGCGACCAGGAATATACCAGCCATATAACTCGATTCTTAGTAGCATTTGTTTATTTTTCTTGCATTAAAACACTCACATGCCTTATTGTCTCTTAGCATCCAAAAATGACAACTAAACTAATTATATGCCTTAATCAAGCATAAACCCTCTGATCATATCTCACATACTACCATATCTATTTCTCAAAGAATTGATGGCCTTAAGGCCTCGTTTTCAGTCCTATTTTTATGCTAACACGAATTCTTAGCATCATACACCACAAGAATAAACGATGAAACGGGAGTTTGGTGCATGATTCTTACCTCAATTTGCTGTCAATTGCTTGTACATCCCCTATCAATTTCTGCTCTGTTTATCTGCGAATTCTCACAAGATTACTTATGGGTTTGCTCTTAAACTTCAAATGAAGCAAATGGCAACTTCTTGCTTGCCTACAAACCGAGGATTGAGCATCATGGTGTGATCCCAACTGTTACTGCCCAAAAATGGCTTTTTATTCTTCCTCCATGTTCCAATTGAACATATTTATGCCATTTACACTCTAGTCCCTTGTGTACACGAACATATAGGTCCCTGGAATTCATCTTTTATGAAATTGCAAAAGTAGTTCTCGACTCATTTTTAGGGTGTTACATCATGTATGCTTAAGAGGCATATGTAGGCCAGGGTTTTATGTCTTCCAAGTCCTGCCATCCAAGCATGTAGAGGAGTCTCTTGTATTGCCCAACGGATATGATTTATTCTTCATGTTTCTTAATTGCTTTTCTTAATGACGTTCAACCCCTTCCCCTAAGTGGCAATACCTTGGAGACACAAGTCCAATTCTTACTTCTCTCTCTGCTAATGAGAAAAATATGAACACCCTAGAATGTGATGGTAACTATTCAGTTTTGATCAGAGCTGTGGTGATCTGCTGTCAAACTTCAACATGAAACACTAGTCCAAATGTGTCAACAATATAGAAAAAGAATTTGTATGCAGAAATAGACGATACTTGATCTCAAAATAATTCAGATTTTGTAAATTTAGTATGTGCAGTTACAGTAGCTACCTACATCGTATATCCATATCTTGCTGCAGTTACTGTTATTTAGCACGTCTGAAATGGTATTCTAAATTGGCAAGGCCAAAAGTTGAATTCTATGCTAAAACAACAAAGCTATTTATCTATAGTTTTGCGTACTCTTCAAATGTTTTATGACATCATTTTCTTCATCATTGGTCCCGTACTTTTGTGTTCTGCGTGGACACTGATTTGGTTATGCATTTTCATGAATACAGAAGCTTGGAGACATAATGGAAATGACTTTCGGGGGCCGCTATGTTATATTGTTGATGTCGCTCTTCTCAATATACACGGGTTTGATCTACAACGAGTTCTTCTCGGTTCCATTCGAGTTATTTAGTCCCTCAGCATATGCCTGCCGTGATGCTGCATGCAGGTACTTACCAGAATATCCCTGCTTTCCAGTTGTCTGTTTTATCTGGTCATCTTTTCTCTTCATGTTATCCTGCTTTCGCTGCAGTGAGGCTACTACTATAGGCTTGATAAAGGTGCGTGATACATACCCATTTGGTGTGGATCCTGCATGGCACGGGAGTCGCAGTGAATTGCCATTCCTTAACTCTTTGAAGATGAAAATGTCAATTCTTCTTGGGGTAGCACAAATGAATCTCGGAATAATACTGAGCTTCTTCAATGCTCTGCACTTTAGGAATGCTGTGAATATCTGGTAAGTTTATATGCCACCATCGTTGGGTTGTTAAAGAGCTGTTCTTCTGTTTTTTCACCACCTAATGGTTTCTCATATTTTATATTTGTTCATTATTTATCATCCAAACTACAATTTTATATAGTACTTGAAAGTAATCCTCATGGGGTAATCATCAATTAATCAACGCATTTCTCTTGAAGTGTGAAGACAAGATATCTCCTTGTCGATAGGACATGTTTACAATGCATATAAGTCTCTGCTGGCTGATTTTGTAATTTGTACCCAGCTGACCAACATTGAAGTTTCAAAAGATTGTTTACTATACTCAGTTTTCTTTCACACCTTTGAATAAGTTATCCGGTCCCAAGCATACTAAGTTAACAGATATCATTGGTTCATATCTGCACTGTTCTCAAATTCCTAGATTAGTTAGTGCTCACTGTACTATGTTTACTGATATTATTCCCTAATTCTGCAATTTCCAGGTTCCAATTTATTCCCCAAATGATCTTCTTGAATGGTCTGTTTGGTTATCTTTCCCTCCTTATCATTGTAAAGTGGTGCACTGGTTCGAAAGCTGATTTATACCATGTAATGATATACATGTTTCTTAGCCCCACCGATGATCTCGGTGAAAACCAGCTTTTTCCAAACCAGAAGACAATTCAGGTTCGATTCTTCCAATAACAGTAACTTTTTATTTGGCCTCCTTTGGATGTTTTATGCATAAGAATGATGCTAGTGTGGAAATAAGGTCTTACTAATACTAATTGTTTCATTACCAGCTTGTGCTACTACTGTTGTCCCTAATTGCTGTCCCATGGATGCTGCTACCTAAGCCTTTCATTTTGAAGGCACAACATAACAGGGTATGTTTTTCTTGTACTTGCTTCCGTTTGTATTGTTGTTGCTTACTCATATCTAGTTTCTCAAAATTTAGCATATTTGTCTCTCTCTCTCTCTCTCTCTTTTTAGTTTTATCTATGTTGTTAACACTTATCTGGCTCTTCGATTCTTACCATATTTGTTTTTCTCCCTTTCACACATCTTTCACTAGCCGGGGGTCATCACAGGAACAACCGCTCTACTCTCTAGGGTAGAGGTCAGGTTTTGCCTACATCTTACCCTCCCCACCCCACCTCCGGTGGGATATATTGGGCTCGTTTTATTTGGTTTAATGTGGTAACATAACAGGGTATCTCACT